CTTCTCCTCCATTCTCCTCTTGGGATCTTGGGCACGCATGCACACGCACCCGGCGTGAGTTTAAGCCACCAGGTCCGAGACTCGAACCGTGGTTGACTACATGGGAGTCCAGCGACATAGCCATTACACTAACTGCTGGTCCCCCCATAAACCATAGTTCTTAAGGTGGGCACATGCCTGTGCTTGCAGGAAGGCCTCAGGTAGGCCCCCCTTCAGGGGCGGCTCACTCCCCAGCCCCCCATTAGGAGCTTGCACTCATAGATCTCTCCAAAAGAGCTGAGCATCCCAGGAGAAGCCAAGGCCGAGGTCTGCAGCTCTTCCTGAGCCTGCCTCCTGCCCATCCCCACGTGTCTGCTGAATACCTATTGTGTGCCAGGCCCTTCACCCACAAAGGCCATCAGGGGGTACCAGCCTGCTCTCCAGGTGTGCTGGAGCTGCAGACCTGCCTGGGGGTGGTGAGGCGCTCCCCAGGGAGCTGAGTGCCCCAGGAGGAGGGGCCGCTGGCAGGGCTGGGCCGAGGCCACCTGCCTAGAACTAGTCACGATAGTTCCACGACAGTCACCTGCCACTGCAGAGCTTTCTCTCCAAATGGCTTGTCCTTACGTCCTCCTGGGGGCCCTGCCCCACACACGTCAGGCTCTCAGATACACAGCAGGGCTCCAGGCCTCACAGCAGGAGCCTAGTTGTGGCCCAGCGTGTCCCTGGGGCTACAGGTGAAAAGCAGAATGGGGACACCCTGAGAGCTGCTGCCTCCTGGCTCTGGGAAGAGGGAATCCCTGAAGGGTGAGGGTTTGTGGAAACAAAGCGGTGGCTATGCTAGCATGCCTTCCCTCTGTCCCCGGGCTCCTGCGTGGTTGTTAGAGTTGGGCTCTCCCTCGCACCTGCCCCCAGCCCAGGCCCTGCCTCCGCACAGCAGGTGCCCAGCAGGCCCAGCACTGCGGGGCCGGGAGTGCTGACAGCTCTACCAGGAAGTGGGCCGCGCTCCCTGTGGGTTTCCACATGAGAACATTCGACACTTTACAACCAGGGCCTTTTAATCTGTCTCTCCTGAAGGATCCCCGCCACCATTAAGTGGCCAGCAGAATCTAGAAGCTGATCTGGAAGAGTAGAGATGGGGGCGGGGGAGCACCGCCTTCCCACACTCAAGCTCCCAGCAAGGGTGCTTGGGGCCCAGCCCGGCAATCGAGGTGCCTGGGAGGACACAGGTCCCTCCACAGGGATCAGTGGGTGCCGGCGTCCCCACTCTCCTTTTCCACGGCCTCCTTTTTCAGTCTCTGCTGACTGACCCTGTGCGAATGTGCTAAAGAGGAAGGGCAGAGCCCCTGCCACGGGCCTGGCCGAGCGAGGAGCCCATGGCAGGTCCTTGAGCCTCAGGGGCTGTTCTCTTGCAGGTGGACATGGCAGGGTTCAGCAGTGAGCCAGCACCATTGCGGCACCTGTGCCTCGGCGCCCTGGTCCGTGACCGAGAGATAGCAGAGATAACAGGCACCGCCGCCCCACGGGACCAGTCAGGGGACAGCGCCGCCAAGGAACTCCCGTGTGTCACCGAGCCGTACTGTGTCCTCCTGTGCCATCTGGAGGAGCCTAGCATGGGCGGTGGGAACCCCATCCTCTGGGTGCAAGAGGGGGCAGGGCCCAGGGCAGGCTGAAAGCTCATCAACAACTCCTGGGGTGAGGGTGGGAATCGTAGCCAAGGATGGGTGTGGCGCCGTCTCTCTGTCCTCGCCACGGTCCAGGGACGCCCTGGAATCTGCCTCCCCTCCCCTCCCAGGTGCTGCCCCGCGCGCTGCAGCCTTCACACCCAGAAGCCCAGAGGTGCTGACGTTTTCCTTGGCAACGTTCTGACGCAGAAGCCAGCGGGTGGGACCAGATGAGGTCTTGGGAGCCAAGCGAGGAGGGAGAACCTCTGGAGAAGCCGTGTCCAGCCCTGGCACCGAGCCCCAAGGTTCATTCTGGCTTTTACAAAAATTAGCATGGCCTGTTCTTGGCCGACTCGCCTTTGACGGGGCTGGGAGGACAGTGCAGGGCATTCCAGGAGAAGGCAGACGGTGGCAGTGCTAGCCGAGTCCCCGGCCTGGCCGTCCTCACTGCTGGGGCCAGCCCCCGCCGGTGGAGGAGTCACGGGAGGGTACCGTCTCCCCCCGGCAGCCTGTTTATTTTGCATCCCCAGATATTACTGGTAGGAGCATGAAAGGTCAGAACCATCTGGAATCCAGTGAATTTCTAGCCTCACTCGAGTTTCGCATCAAGAATTTCCTTTTCTGGTGTAGGACGACTTCCTAGGCCTGCAGAGACTAGAGTGGTGGTGGCATTAGAAAGTGCCCTGGACGCCCTCGGAGCCCGGCTACCTCACAGAGATCCCCATGGCCAGGCCAGCAGCTGCCCACGAGGCTCCCCCAGGGATGGGGCTGGGAGAAGCCTCATCAGGGGCTCCAGTCCATCCAAGGCCTGCCCCCAGAGCACACTCACACCCCGCTGCAGTGAGCTCCTGCAGTGGGGGAGTGGGCAGGCGCCCAGCCGTGGTGGGTGAAGGCCTTCGAGGAGGTGTTGCTTAGGGAGACCTGAGGGACGCAGTTGGGGGCAGCGGGGACAGCTGGCAGGACGGTCACGAGCCTAAGGCTGGGCAGAGCAGTGCTGTGGGAGCAAAGCAATCTGACGATGGCCAGAGCAGCGAGAGGAGAGAGGCAGCAGGAGGCGGGCCAGGGCCAGGCAGAGCCGGAAGGGCCTCTCTGAAAACACCTGGGCTGCCTGGCCATTGACTGGTTCAGAACCCAGAAGTGACAGCCAGAAAACCTTCCAGGAAACACAGACCAACTCAGGACTGCCTGGGTCCTAGCACACCGGCAGGCACAGGCTTGGCAGGCTCAGCTTGCCAAAGATGAATCTGGGAGCCAGGCCTGGTGCCGGAGGAATTCGCCACACCCGCCCTGGCGAAGACGGATGAAGCAGCTCCCAGATCCGGCCGGAAGGCCTCAGCGCAGAGGTTCTCACCAGCCTCAGGGCACAGAAGTGGGCAGGGGCCCAGAGAGCAGAGGGGCAGCTGCAGGGTGAACAGTGGAACTGCCACGGCCCTGTCCAGGGGCCCAGAGAGCCAACTGCCCGAGCCTGCGTGAGGGGCAGCTGCAGGGTGAACAGTGGAACTGCCACAGCCCTGCCCAGGGACCCCGAGAGCTGACTGCCCCAGTGCCACGGCCCTGTCCAGGGGCCCAGAGAGCTGACTGCCCGAGCCTGTGTGACAGGCAGCTGCAGGGTGAACAGTGGAACTGCCACGGCCCTGTCTAGGAGCCTACACGGGGCATCCCGCTTTGCCTCCCAGCCTGGTCAGTTCCACGCCCTCTGCCCACAGAGGAGCCTGATCTCACTGGTCCGCTCACCTGCTATGACACAGCGTCCATCCAGAACCACACGTGGCGCTGACGGAGCAGCCAGAGCAGTAGTAGGTACTGGAACCCAGACAGCGCTGGGAGCAAGCCTGGTGCTGGAGGCCTGACTGTCCTGGGGACACGGCCTCTGCAGCCCACTGACCCTCCCACTCACGACCACTGACACCTGGGCACGGTTCCAGGGCGGCACCCCCAGATGCTTGAAGACACTGCCTCCTGCCTCCATGGCCGCCCGATGGGGGCCACAGACCTCCCCTGCCCAGAAGCACGTGCAGACTCCAGCACCGTGGCCACGGCCTGGAGCCGCCAGCTGCATCAGCACAGGCCTGGGGCTGCAGGCCCAGCTAGGCCCGAACGACAGTGCCGCCCCTGCCTCAGCAAGACCAGGTGAAGGAAGGAGGGCCACGCCTGCCTGGCCCTGCGGAGGCCAAGTCGGGAGGCTGGACCCTCATCCCCAAGAACGCTGAGTCTCCACGTTCAGGGTCCCCCTCATGGACATCATTATCATTCCCTGAGCCCCGAGACCCATGCCCCATCCACAGCTCTTCAGAAGACTCCATTTGCTGACACCCCGCCCCCCAACTCCCAGGGTCAAAAGCTTGTCTTTAAGGTCAGATTCTGGGTCTCTGCTCGGGCCTCCCGCCTGACACAAAGTGGGCTGAGCTGGACGACCTTGGCCTGGCCACCCAGGGAGAGCATGGGCACCGTGTGCCAAGCCTCCTGCCCTGGTGGGGTGTGTGCATGCTGCCCCACACTCTCCTAGCTGGGGGCCTGGCTCCCCATGGGACCCAGGTCTCCTTTGGCTGCCCCTGCTCCACTGGGTGCTTCTGAGCCCTCTTCCCCACACAGGGGCCCCCAGCCTGAGCTGAAGGTTCCAAAGAACCCCGACACCGTCCCAACCCCAGGCCTTTACCCCGTTCCCACTGTGGAGGCCTCAAGCCCAGGTCCAGGCATCCCTGGGATTAGACCTTCCGAGTGGTTCTTAACCCCACGGTTGCCACAGCCCTCGGATCACAACAGGGCTGCAGGAGTGGCTGCTGGTCCTGGGAGCTACAGCCCAGTGCTGACGGAGGTGCACGGGTTTGCCAAACTGCCACTTGGGCTAATGAGGAATGCCCGGCCTGACCGCATCCTCACTGCACTGAGTGGGCCACCGTGGGAACCCGGGCACCCAGCCCACAACACAGGGAGCACAGGGGAGAGCATCGTAGCCAATAGCGTGTCCTGCCTGTGGGCTGGGCCTCCCTCTGTGGGCTCAGGGTGTGGCATCTCCTGGACGGTCCAAAGCCTGTCGGGGCATGGTCGCCTGGGGTGGCCATGAAGAGCTGAACTTAAAGGGACCCTGTGTGGGTTGGGCATGGCCCTGCCTGCCGGGGGTCCCTCCTCTCGGGCCAAAGTCCTAGCGATGTTTATGAAGTTCTGCGGCGCTCAGGACACCTGCCACACTCCACTCTGCTCCCACTCTACCTCGCCAGGCCCCCTGTAGGCATCACGTGGCCGGGCCAAGCTTGCACCCCGCTCGCCTATGACCACAGCCTCTCCCGGCCTCAAGTCCGCCTGCTTCACTGAAGCCCACGAGAGCAAGGACAAGCGGAAGAAATCCCGGGCCCCACTCACCGTCTGGTTATCCTCATAGAGCTTCAGGTCGTAGCCACTGAGCTCCACGCAGAAGATGATGGCCGTGACGCCCTCGAAGCAGTGGATCCACTTTTTGCGCTCGGACCGCTGCCCGCCCACGTCCACCATCTTGAAGGTGAGCTCCTTGAAGGTGAACTTGTTCTCCACGATGCCCGTGGTCATGTCCCGGGAGCGCAGGATGTCCTCCACGGTGGGGACGTAGTCGGGCGCGGCGATGCGCTCCAGGTCGTTCAGGTAGTAGGCCGCGTTGTCCTCCAGGTGGTACTCGCTGGAGCGGCCGAAGCAGGCCTGCGCCCCGGGGTCGGCCCACAGCCGCCGCATGACGCCCAGCAGCTCGGGTGTGATCTCGCCCTTGCTCTCGGCCGGCCCCGTCAACGCGAAGAGCTGCACGGCGTCGTAGGCGCGGTCGGGGTTGTGGAAGTCGATCTTGAGGGCGGCCAGGGCCCGGATGATGCGGGTCAGCGAGTCGATGGCGTTGTAGATGATGAGGGGCTTGTACTCCTTGCAGGCCTCCAGGTTGAAGCCGCCGCTGTGGATGATCTTCATCTGCTTGACGATGGTGCTCTTGCCCGAGTTGCTGGTGCCCAGCAGGAGCAGCTTGATCTCACGGCGCTGCCGCTGGCTCTCCGAGCGCAGGTGGCGGTCGATTCTCCGGGACCGCCGCGCCGCCTCATTCTCCTCTGAGCTTTGCCGACATCCCATGGTCCGGCAGCGGCGGGCCCAGACGCGGAGCGGGGAAGGCGCCTCTCCCTCTCGCCGGCTCTGCACGTCACCGAGCGGGGAAGGCCAGGGCGGGAACTCTGAGAGGGTCTGAGCACCGGGCAGGGGAGGCCGGCCACCCGATGCGCTCAGTGCCGGTGGGCGGGCGCGGCCATGCCACGCTGCAGCCCCCCCGGCGCTCCTTCTCCAGCCGGCATGGCGCTCCGTGCAGGGGCAGCGGCTGCACCCTCCCTCTAGTGACACTCCACCTCCCCTGTGGGCAGAGTGGCCAGGTCAGCCGCAGTCATCCCCTGTCCTCGGCGATGGTGGGAAGCCTGTCCGCTTGCGGCTGCCCAGGCTGGGTGCCGCCTGGCCGCAAAAAAATGCTGCTAAGCGTGGCTGGAGGGCCAGCCGGTGCCGAGCACGCTGCCTGCGGCCCCCCTGCCTCGGGCTGCCCCGGCTCCCAGCAGCACATCCGGCCCTTCACCTGCCAAACAGAGAACAGTGTGAGCCACCGGCCTCCCCTCAGGCGGGACGGGGAGGGGGGCCCTTCGACACAGCGGAAAGCAGGGCAGCGGAGGCCTCCATAGTGGCCAGGAACGACCATCGGCTCCCTTCTGCACGGAGCGCTGCAGGCTGAGCGTCCAAACCACAGCCAAACAAACACACCCGGCTGCCACTGTGCCTACTTCTCCGGGGACTAGGCCTGGCCCCACCCTGCCTGGCCAGTTTGCCTGAAGCCAGGCCCACCAGGCCTCGGCTCATCTACGCCCAGCTCTGGACTCACCTCTGGGCTGAGGTCGGTTGGCCTCATTCTCCCCAAGAGCACCTGGTTAGGATTCAATAAGGCAATGCCACTGAGATGCCCCCTGGCCTGACCCTGCTTCACAGTGGGCCTCTGGCCTTGGCCCTGCCTGGAGCCCCAGCCCCCTCAGGGCCCAAGCCTGGATAACTGAGCCTCGGGTCTCGGTGTCCCCAGGGCTGGAGGGAGGCCTAGCCCTGTTGGCAAGTGCTGATGGGACAGTCCTTGGGACAGGCAGGCAGGCAGGGATCAAAGCAAGGTGGGAGCCACAGGCTGTGGGAGTGCCACGGGGGGCCCACGGATGGCTGCTTGGGGTTTGGCGTGGCAGAGTGAGCAGGGAAAGCCTCGCTCTTGCTGGGGTGAGGTGGAGGAGGGCTCAGACCGAAGGGCATGGTGGTGAAGGCCATCCAGGGAAGTGGGAGAGGCCGGAGCAGCTCCCAAGGGCATCGATAATCAGTGAGTCCCAGGCTGAATCTCTCCTCCGCCCACCCCAGCTGGTCGTCAGTGAGGGAGGGCTGTGCCCACACGGGGACAGGGCCTTAGCAGTCACACACTGCTCCCGGCAGGTCGCCTGCTGAGCAGCAGGGTAAGGGGGTATGCCAGAATGCCCCCTGTGATCGGCTGGTGGCTAGGCTCCCCCCTGCTAGGGACGGCCCTGAAGCCCAGGCTTCTGCCCCCACCTTGCCCACAGGCATGACTCCTGGCTTCTTCACTGTGAGTCCCTCTGTCCCTGTCCTACCACACGCAGCACTCACTCCCCTAACGTCCCCCTGTCCCCACGGCAGGCCCTGGGGTGGGGAGGCCCAAGGCAGAGAGACCTGATGTCCCAGTCAGGGGCATCTACCCTGTCCCCTCTCAGCGTGACCAATACTTCGAACCACCTGCCCACATGGGCCTCTGTTCTCCCCTCCCGTCCCACTCCAGATCTCTCAGGACCCGGCACCTCGTCCCCCTAGCTGTCATCCCTGCCCCTCACAGACTTTCAGCTCCTAGTCCTAGCGATTCTGCTGTGAATCAGCGTGGGGGTCCTCCCCACCCCGAAACCACTGCCCTCGGGGTGCTAAGTCTTCCCCCACACCTCACGTGGCAGTGCGACCTGGGCTCATTGCTCCACGTCTTGGCACCTGTCCCTCACTGGCCACAGGTAACTGGGGCAGATCTGGGTAGGCAGCTGGGCCAGCCAGTGGCAGTCACTACCCAGCTGTCCCTGTCGTTGCAAACGTCACCTTGCACCCCTTCCCGCCTCTCTGGCTCCACCCCCTGCCTGCCCGCTCCCTCTCCTTACGTGTGACTGACGTGATCTTGTGTGCTTCCCTGTCAGCTGGGCGTGCTGGGCGAGCAGGGCCTGTCCTGGCCTCGCTCCCTGTGGGGGCAGTGCGGGGCCACTGCAGGTGCTCAGTACACCCTAGCGGGTGGAAAGAGGGACTCAGATCTGGGGAGGCTGAGGAACCTCCCTGCTTCTTCGCAGTCCACCCACAGGCGGCTAAGGATCAGAGGTCACAGAGAACACCCCAGAAATGTCTTTGCTGAGATCAGTGACTGGTGGTCACTCAGCCTGGTTCTGGTGAGGCTGAAAATTAGGCCCGAGGATGGACACCTCGAGCTGACCCTCCACCCCGGCCCAGATCAAGTGGCTCCAAGAACATCTGCTCCAGGAGGACACAAATGTGACACACGGGGTCTTCGAACAGTTCACAGGAAATACGTATTATCATAAAAGTGCACGATGTCATGTTTCTTCTGCACCAAAACAAATGCACTTCGAGTCCATTTTCCCATGAGCTTTCTGAAGGCCCTGCACATGTAGTACGCACATTGCACACGCATGCGCATGCTGCACACAGGTGCAGAGGCCTGGAGAGGGACACCCCAGCGGCAATGAGTTGCGTGTTGCGAAATCTCAGGGGATTTTTCTCCTCCTCTGCCTTTTCCTGTACCGTGTATTTCCCTGAATAAACACTTTTCTCTAGAAGAAGGTCTATAATAAACGTGGCATGGACAGACCGGGTCTCTCATCACATCTGGGACTTGCCTGTCTTCCCATGGACTGTGGACTGGAGGGCAGGGACCCTGTGCCTGCACCCGTGTCCCTGCCGATGACCTGACAGTCCCCTGGCGTGGAAAGGCATCAAAGCCCTCAGCCAGCTGTCTGCGAGGTCTTCCTGCACGCGGAGGCCACCTGGGGCTCCGGGGACCGTCCCTGCCTGTGCCATAAAGCCAGTGTCCAGCCCTGCTGTGGGTGTCCCTGTTGTTCTAAGTTTAGTACTTTACTATCTGGGCTACGGGCACCAGCAGGTGGCGTGGTGGTTAAGGCACTGGACTCTCACATGGCTGTCTGCAGTTCAAGTCCCAGACCTCATGGCTTGCTTTATCACTCTCTCTCACTCTGATGAGCCCTATAGCAAGTTAAAAACTAGTAAAGAAAGTCAAACAATTCTTTCTTTTCTTTTTTTTTTAGAGGTTTTTGCTCGCCAGAGAGAGAGAGAGAGACAGAGAGATAGAAAGCGAGAAATCACCCCCCAGGGGTATGGCCACGCCATAGTCCCTTCTCCATTCTCCTCTCGGGATCTTGGGCATGCACGCACACGCGCCCGGCATGAATTTAAGCCACCAGGTCCGGGACGCGAACCGTGGTCGAGTACTTGGGAGTCCAGCGACATAGCCATTACGCTAACTGCTGGTTCCCAAGAAAGTCAAATAATTCTTGAAAAAATATCTGGGGAACAGTCAGGTCCCAAGGTCTGAATCTCCTTCAGCTGGTCAGGGACAACACTTACCTAATATGCCTCCCAAGCCGTTTGCTGCCACCTATGTAAAGCGGGCTCCTGGCTGTCCTGGGAACACCCTGCAGTGACCCTGCTCTGGGGACGTGCGTGTCTAGCCCTGGCACGTGACACGGGAGCTGCGCCTGAACACACTGAGACATCCCGGCGGCACAGGGCATGACCGCCCCTGCTCCGGATCCCTCAGCCCCTCGGGGACCTCGCCAGGCCCAGCACTGGCTGTTCTCCGCAGGGCTCGCTCTGTCACCCCCAGACCTCTCCTTGGGCTGCTCCCGTCTGTGGCGCCTCTCGCCTGGTTTCTGTACCGGAACCTGCCTGTTCTTCACAGGTCAGCTCACACAGCTGCCTCTGCCAGCGGGGCGTCCTCTCCCCTCTCCCGCCCGCCTGCGACGCTCTGCTCCACACCCTCCCTCTCTCCCCCTCTTCTGCCGGACTGGGATTTCCTTAAAAGCAGGGAGGCCGGGTGGTGTGGGAGCAAGAGGCAGGCCCATGCCCGATGCTGGCTTCACCGGTGCTGGCAGAGGGCACCCCAGGCTGGGCTCCAGCTCCATGTACCAGGCAGGTCTGTGTGGGCAGGACATCCAGAGGGGCGACACCCCCTCTACCTCCTTCTGTCACCAACGCAGTCCAAACCGGGAACTGGTGAGCCCCGTTCTGGTGGCCACTAGCCCGGCACTGTCTTAAGGAGGGAGACCTGTGCCCACCCTGCCTTCGGTCCCGAGTGGCGGCACAGAAGCTGCTCTAAGGACATGTGATTTGTGCTTCAGGATGTCTGTGCTCCCTCACAGCTGAGGGACGAGGCTCTGGGGCATCTGGAGGGAAGGTTAGGGGCAGGGGCTGGTCGTGTGAAGTCCTGGATCAGTGGACGCGAGCAACCACGGGCAATGTGTGTACCGGGCCAGCAGGGCAGTGACCGGCAGTGCCTCCCAAGGGAGAGTCACCTGCTGGAGGCCCCCTCCTTCACATCACCAGAACCACATGAGCTGAAGGCCCACCCAGAACTCTCCCCGCGGTGCTGGGGTCCAGTCCAGAGGTGTGAGTACTCTGTCAGTGGAACAGCCAAGGGATGGGGCTGTGCTCCGATGCAGGGAGGCCTCGGGGCAGCAGCCCGGCCTGGGGGCAGTGCCACCACCCCCCATGCTTTGTTTTCATAAGGCTCCTGCCAGTAAGCTCTCTGAGTCTCACCCAGGCCTCCAAACGCTTCCAGGGATTCCCCAAGATGGAGCCTGATGACAGTCACCCTAGAGGCAAGGGCCAAGAGTTGGATAATCACAGTTTCCTGGCTCAGAAACTGCTCATGGGTGTCAGGGGCCCCAACACCCAGGCCCCCCACCACAGTGCTCCTGGGCATGGCTGGAAATGCCAGAGTAATGGGGGAAGAGTGTTCCAGGCAGAGGAGGACCTGTAGGGCCTGCGGGGTGTGTGTGTCACAGGAGAGACGCCGTCCTGTGACCAGGGAACTGAAGGAAGCTCAGAGTAGGGGCGGTGGGGAAGGAGGGATAAAGAGACAGGGCAGATCAGGAGAAGCCAAACTAGGGCTATAGTCTTCATCGAAGAGAACACAGGAAGCCACCGTGAAGCTGGGTTCTGGGTTCTGTTTGTTTCTGCCATGGGGCACATGCGTTCCCAGCAAGGAGACAGAGACAGTGAGAGGGAAAGGAGAGGAATCACCACCCGTGGGGTGAGCGGCCACTCTACAATCCCTTCTCCTCCATTCTCGTGAGATTTTGGGCACAAACACACATGCACCTGGCATGAATTTTTTTTTTTTTTTGAGAGGTT